TGTAAAGTTCTTCACGTCGGTCGAAACAACGGTAGGTCTCTCGACACGTTCGGTGATGGGTGAGGCAAACGTAGCGAGAGATTTAGGAGTTTCTATCGATGAGGACCTCAAGTTTTCCTCGCACGCGCAAGCGACGGGAACCGGACAAAATGACCCCGGACAAAATGGCCCCGGGCAAAATGGCCCCGGACATAATGTCCCCGGACATAATGGTCCCAAATGCAATGTAGGACATAATGGCCCCACACACCAGAAAACCAGCTTCTTTGAATAAGGATTCATTTTTCCCTCTCAGATATTGATATGCTGTTCAGATGATTAAAATCTATTAAAATAGTTATTATTCATTAACACAGTTTATTAAACTAACGCAATTTTACTTGACCCATCCCACCCTGTTTACCCTCTGATCCTGATCCTCTGTTCCATCTAATCCTCCGCACAGGTGTGTTCCATCTAATCCTGCGCTTTCAAGCGAGTGACCTTCCAAGAACTGTCAATGCCAGCGAAGAAGAAACGCCTGGACCGTTGCAAACGTCTTCTTGAGCGCTTTCCAACACCTGAGTCAAGGAAAAAAAATTTGGTTCTCAGATGAAAAACGTTTCACTGTTGTTACGCCGCGTAACACACAAAATGACCGCGTGCATGCTGCTGTGGAAAAGAAGTCTGAAATTGTTCCTGAGACTGCTGCGAGAGAGGCACCACTTCTCTGAATCAGTGATGGTTTCCTTGGCAGTGTCTTCGCGTGGAAAAACTAAGATTTTCTTCATTCCCCGAGGTGCGAAGATAAACTCTCAGAGCTACCGTGAAGAACTTCTCTCAGAAATGTTGCCCAAAATTGAAGATGTGATGCACGATTACACCTTCATGCAAGACGTGCTCCTGCCCATACCGCTATGGCTACAATTCAGTGGCTTCGTGAAAACTGTCCTGATTTCATCGAACCTGAAAATTGGCCGCCCAATAGCCTTGACCCAGTCGATTTTTTTGTGGTCCGCGTTGGAAGAGAAAGTATATCGTGGGCAAAAATTCCGGTGTCGCTGAACTGAAGGAACGAATCCTGGTAGCATGGGAAGAACTTTCACAGGGCTCAATTGCCACTGCCATCCTCAAGTGGAAAGGGCGACTGAAGGCAGTTACTCGACAGAAAGGTGGCCATATTGAGCCATACGTCAAACGATGAGCTTGTGTTGAACTTGCGTTAGTTTTGTATTTTTTTTGTGTTTGAACGTGAAAAGGCTCTGTGCTTGGTAAAAAAAAAAGCGTGATTTTCAACTTTTTTTCAGCGTAAAGTTTTTTTCGAATCAATTTCTCTCACGTGTTTTTCGGCGGAACTAAATAGCAACTGATATCATTTGAAAGCGAATTAAATGAACTTTCATTTCATTTTTTAAAAATTCTTCTAGCTCAATTTGGGACCGAGATATAAGGTTTCAAGTAGAGGACCTTTTTTTTTTTTTTACCCACCCTGTATATATATTTAGCTTTAAAAGGGTTAGACCTACCCTAGAATTAAGGAACGCTCGACCTCGACACGTGAATCGAAATGGGTGAAATCGCCTCTTGATATCACTATCTTGAATCTTGAATCCATGTAGAAGGAGGTTCAAGTAAAAACCATTGATCAATATAGAGTGCGGTGAATAAGAAGTTTGAGAGTGGGGACATGAAATCTCATTTGTTTGTTTTTGGATCATTATCATTCCATTTCAAGCTTCTTGTTTTTCTTATTCCTTGTTTTTCAAAACATGGATAGGCAGATAGATTTGATAGATGGATGCAGAGGAAAAGGATATGCTTTCCAAATACTTGATAGCCTATAATTTTCCTCTGCATTTGTCACTTCGTTTGAGAATAAGCACAATGCTATTAATGGTTCAATCAGATACCATAAGTGATGCTTCACGGCACTTATGGCAACCTCTGTAGCCTTCTCGTTCTCTGATTTGTATCTCTAAAGTCTTCAGCATGTTGAAATCGTTAATTGAGGCTGATGCAGCATCTAAACACAAAAACCTGGCTTTCATGTAATTATTGGCATTTTGTTTTTACTTTTAATTTTAATTTTATGACACTTTGTTCTTAATGGATTTGTTATTCTTGCTCATTCTCAAAACTTCAAAACCTCTCAAACAGTTTCTTTTGCACTTTCATGGGTTACTTTCATTGTTGGAGGAAGAAAATAGTTGGGAGTGTTGATGGTGATGGTGAACTTTGATGGCAATTTATCTCCAGAAAACCTCTCTCAAAGGCCATCCAAGGAGCAATATTTCATTATTACTTCAAGTCTTTGGAACCCTGCCACTTCTTTGTTCACTCATTTTGTTATGATATAAGGGGGGGGAAAGAAGAAAAAATCTGCATGCAAAAAATGTTTATTCCTCACTCGAAAACGGGGGAAAGAAAAGCCATATTAAACGCGATGGTGTCGAAGATGAGATCAGGAGGGAAATTCTTGTTGCACGGCTCCCATGTTAACTCCGATCGGCTAGTAGGAGGAAAGAAAACAATGGAGGACGGAGCTGCATCGGCTGAGTTCACATAAGGGAAAGCAAAGAGACCTTGTTGCAATAGGGACATTCCCCGAAGATCATGTTCAGGCTCTGTCGACAGCTCGGCACGGAAAGCAACCACTGCACGAAGAAATGCATCATGGATTCGGCAAAAATCATTCATTTTGCATGATAACGCACCGCTTGACGCTAAGAAGATTCTTTTTAAGGACGGGGGGAGAGAACTCACATCAATCAGACATTGAGTGTGAAAGGGTCGACCGCATCGGGGTTCGTTGCAGGACTTTTCCGGAATGGCATCCCCAAGACGATAGGAATAGCAGATCCCACATTCTTGATTCGTCTCCACCTCCATCTCTCCATCCCTGGGCCCTGATGGTAATTCCCGGCCCAAAACAGTTTCCAGATTCTCCACCAAGCCCTTCTCTTCTTTCCATTCCTGTACGAAATCGAGTGATGGTAGTTACGGTCGGTTAGGCGGTGCGAGATCAGGAAGAGTAACGCGCAATCACGGCGTTCCATTGAACTTCCTAAAGCCGACTTCCCCCCCTAGGTCACGTCAACGCCGACGTTAAAACTGCGTCGTCGAATTAACTTGGATCGTTTCTACGGAGCATGTCAAGTGACCGGCTGACCTCGAGAGCGGCCTCGACGATGCGAGAGCGTTCGCTCCATGGAAGCGTCGCAAAGCTAAGTCAACTCAGAGGAATTCCCATGGAAACGTGTTTGAGATACATGTAGGCGTGAATGGAGGGTGTCTCGGAGGGGTGAGACGAGGTGATCGGGACCGAGGAATCGGAGCGCCGGCAGGGCCCTCGGCTCTTCCGGCTTCACCACCATCTGGATCGACAGGCCCGGACCTTTCAGAGCGACACCCACAAATACATATAAACTCCGTGACACCGAAAAAAGAGGGAACATCGAACAGTGACCGGACCGGCGGCAAAGCGTCGATAGTCGACCGACAGCCGAGCCCGGGAAGGAGGATCCAGGATCCACAATCTCTCGTCCAGTTCCTCCATGGCGTCCCAAAAGACCTGGAATCCCTCCACCTCCTTAACGAACCAGTCCCAAGTGTCTTTGAGATTCAACCGCGTTCCGGGTTTCCAGGGCAACTCCCGCTTCCCGACCCCGGGGAGTTCCACGTGCACCCGTTCCCGATTCCGGATTCTCAACTCGTGCCTCCTCCCATGCGGATCCCTGCATTCCAGGTGAACGTCTCGAAAATCGGGGGAGATCCAGGTGACATGAGACCAGCCAATCTTCGTTTCCACATCTCTCAGCATCTCCGCATCGGATAAGACCATCCTCGTAATCGGTTCCGCCGTATTCAACGCTTTTTCCCCTTCCCTCTACGGCACAGCCTTGCATTCGCCTCATCGACGCCATATTATACTTCACTATAAAATTTCATCTCACCAAAAGAAGATGGAGCTGTTGAAGGAGGTGATGAGGGGAGCTAGATTCCTCCAATATCTTAAACAAAAAAAGTGGGAATCATGTGTCCGTGAAAACAGTATGGAAGAGGAGGGAAGTGACAGACTTATAAAAAATAAATACACAAGATTTTACCTTGCCAACTGAAAGAGGGGAATGAAAGAGAAATTGTCTTGCTTTCCAACATCCACGGATTCGAGATTGAGCTAAGGGAAGGCGAAGATCCAGACACAGTTCCACTTCTCCCTTCGCAAATAAGAACCCCGAAAATGAATGATTCGAGAAGAGGGAAAATTAAATATTCCAGTTTTCACTTTCGTCTACCTGGGAAAGATGAAGGTATCCCTGGAGGCGGGCATATTTTTCCTCGTTCCAATCCAAAAGGACCACCTCAGGGAAAAGCTCTCGACACATTGATAGAAACTCACTATCGAAGCCCATACCATTTATACTTCTTTCAAGAGATTCCCGACCACAAACACATCAAAGCCGTTTCTTATAATAAAGTGGACGCACGTGTTATTCCAACGATCGGTAATCAGACGTTTCCTATTAAAATGTGTTCCTAAGAGTGAATGATTGCAAAACCTGAAAATTTAAATAGAAATTTTCCGATTCAAAATTGATCGACTATCACCGAACCCGTGAAATGTGGTCACTTGAAAAAAAAAAAGCTCTTAGAAATAAAAGGGATGATGATGATGGCAAGGCTCTGATTTCGAGATTTGCATGAATTTTGCCCTCCGAAGTTGAACACACACTTCAATGCTCGTCTGGAGAAGACACACGAATTACTTAGGAATGGGGTGAACTGAAACTTGTAAGCTGAAATGTCGGTAGTTTGCAATCTACCATACCATGATCGATAATCGCTAATTCATTTGGATCTCGGGTCGAAAATGGAGGAACCTGTGGAAGGGAAGGAATCCTTGCTTCTCTCCCTCTAACCTCATTAGAATTTAGTAAATAGGACGGGAATACGCACCATGAATAAACCCTTCACGAGGCGATGAATGTCTGTCGATGGTACTCCTTCACCTGTAAGGAATTCAATCGATGTTCTCTGCTCGCGGCCGACATCGTCATACTCCACCGTTTTCAATCGCCTTAGTGCAATGGCAGAGCTTTCTCACTAGGAGTCATGAAACTTCACGAGGAATGAGGGCATACGAAAATGTCTGCACCTGCATTTTCGGGCTTGTGCCAACTAGTTTGCGATACAAACTAGTAGTTTGCGATAGACAAAATCGGAGGCATTAATTTTGGTGTGACCCTCGTAGAATAATGGTCAACATCATTTTAAGATAAATATTTGCGTGAACATATGCTCACAAATATAGGTAGGTATAAACAGGGTGAGTCAAAAGTAGGGATGCACCGGTCCAGGATTAGCCGATACCGATCTCGGTGTCTTGGTATCGGCTGATACCGATAACGATACCGATACAGACAGCTCCCAGTGGCTGTCAGAAGTGAAACCACGATACAGGACCAGACCTTTGTAGGCCTTATGCTACCTTTGGCATGGAAGGGAAGAAATAAAAACTCCTCGGACACTAATGATCCAACGTTCAAAATTCCTGTCATTTATTTAGCTCTGGAGACATTTACGTCGGCCGATAAATTAACTTCTTCAGTAAAGGCCAAAACTTCCCCCGCCATTCACTGAGCCAGCCGAGAATACGTCGGACGTAGATACTACGAACAAAGGACGATCGGTGCGAAGAGGAGTAGGAGTAGGAACGACGTCTCATGTCCTTAAGGGATTGAGGACTTGATGCAACTGCAACCAGGATCGGTGCTCGAGGGGAGAGCCAGAGGTGGGATGGTCGTGAGCACAAAGTGCGCCTGCGCAAACCAGTCAGCGCGGGAAGGCAGGAGACGGGATGGAATGGGGGAAAGTGAAGGAATGAATGCGTACGTGAATGACTCTGGCCCATTCCATTTGTACAATGTCATTCTCAGATCTCTCGCATTCTGCTTTAACCATGCCAATACTTTGGATCGGTATCGGTGCATCTCTTAACTCAGCAACAAGGAAGGCATCAATTTGAAATAAATAAATGTATAAATATGAAATAAAAATAAGTCCTTCCACGGCGACTGCCGGTATTGGAGGTATGAGGGGGGGATGAACCACATCCCAGACCTCATACTCACCGAATTCTGAAGGACACGGCGAAGGATATTGGTCGTGCCCAAGATTGCTGTACGCTGGAGGATATCGAGTGATATTTCACACTCCAGCTTCCTGACATGTCCCTTGAGGTCTTTCAGGACGACGCCAGTTGTGCCGATGATGATTGGAACGATGGTGGTCTTCATTCCGCACAACTGCTCTACTTCCACTTTCAGTTCGGAGTATTTCTCCAGCTTCTCCCTGGCCATCTCTTGGAGGTTATTATCAGCTGGGATGCTCACATCTACGAGGAGGGCGGTCTTCTCCTTATAGATCGTGAGGTCCGGCTTATTGCAGCCTATAGTGTGGTCTGTAATTATAGGCATGTCCCAAAGTATCTTGGTGGAGGAGTTCTCCACTACAGACTCTGGCTGGTGTTCGTACCACTTCTCTGGGACTTCCAGGCCGGCTTGCTTGGAGACACACCAGTGCACATATTTGCACACCTGGTCGTGCCTGTACAAGTACTCCCTCGGTGCTAGTTCGGGGCAGGCACTGAGGAGGTGGTGAACCGTTTCGGGTGGTCCATGACAGCATCTGCAGCGGTCTTCCACATCCAGCTTCAGGATGTGCTTCTCGTAGTTACGAGTTCTAATGCACTGGTCTTGAATGGCTAGGATGTTGCTCTCTGTCTCGGCATTCAACAGTTCCTTCTTCAGCCAGTTATAGCTGACGTCCGAGTCGATCGATGGTTTATCCATGATCTTGGGGTGCTGGCCGTGAAGCGGTTTCTCCTTCCATCGAGCCTCTCTTTGTACTTGGTCTGCCGTCTTCACATCCTTCGTGTCGCAGTCGTCATCGAGATGGAGTGCATTTCGGGAGCGGGTGGCATCTCCCTGGATGGAGTGGGATTTCTTGAGGGCATCACGCTCTCTCAGGATGGAAATGAGCCGTCCCTGTTTCCTTTCGATGAATCTGGCGACTTCGCACGTCGTCCGCTTATAGAGGGACTCGAGTTCGATCAGTCCCCTCCCTCCCTTGCATCTCGGAAGGTAGAGTCCTTCAACGGCAGCCTTCGGGTGGTGGGTGTGATGCATGGTCAGGAGTTTTCTGGTCGCTCGATCGATGGCTTGGAGTTCCGTAGGTGACCGCATGTTTACCTCGGGTATGGACGATTCCGCCATCCAGCTAGCGCAAGAACAGAAAGACACCACCGAAGTGGAGGTCAGTGTCTATTCCGTGCGTCACGCCCTGAAAGCGGCCAGCCTGAAGTCAGAATACAAAAAGATGACGCACTGAATTTGGCCAATATACTCCCATTAGCGCCTCGACTTTGCATAGTGACACCAACATTGGCCCATGGGAGACTGGAAGCGAGCCCACTGGTTCGAAAAGACCAATCTCAACCGTCTGGGATCTGTCGGGCGCAAGTGGGTGTAGAAAAAGTCGAATGGTGCGCTAACAGCGCAACGTGTTCAAGGTAGGTCATGTTTGACGGTGGAAGTCAAATGATTTGGGTGTGCGTGACCGCCCAAGGAGACACATGGTGACTCCTTGGGCGGTCATGCGGCCATCGATGCGTGACGGGTCGATGGCCGCATGGACACAGAGCTCTATACAGCATCCTCGGTGACGAATTCCTCAAAACCACCGAACACTACGAGCTGGACACGGGCAAGATTATATACCAGCAGGATACCCATCCCAAGCACACCTCCTGGGCTGCCCGCAAATGGTTCGAAGACAACGGAATTGAGGTGCTGGAGTGGCCCGCACAGTGCCCGGATCTCAATTCCATCGGACAATTGTGGCTCCATTTATAACTCGCGAAGAAAGACAATGATCCGAGCGGTATGTTTGCGATTCCCGATCCCGATCATGAAACGATATTCCGCTACAAGTGTGCATCGACTTCATTGAGAGCATGCCCAGATGTGTCGCTGAAGTTTAAAAAAAGAGGTGAATGCAAAAAATACTAAATAAACTCACTTTTCTACCTTGCTGAACATAAGTCGCAGAACTGGTCCAATGGCACATAGACCTACGAGAGCCCATTATTCCACGAATACACACTCTTTCTAAACAAAGTCAATAGTGATTGAAAGCCAGGAAGCAGAGCTATCTCCCCCCCCCCCNTGACAGCCGAGGGATTCACACGCAACCGCCTGAGTGCATGGCCTCATCGCCACTTCACCTTCCCTCCGACCCGTGCGAGTAGCTCGTGCGTCTCGAAGGGATTCCCATGTAACCGCTTACTTCATTCTTCGAGTCCAGTTTCATACGGTGTTTGTATTCCGTTTGGTGGGTTGGTGGTGCAACACGTATCGCCAATATGAGATCCGACTGTTAACTATATACAGTATATTTAACAGTCCTTTAAGAATACATGGATTCCTATGGGAGAAAAAGAGCTCCTTCGCTAAAAGCCCCGTTGTCTCCCCTGAATGAGGTTCGTGTATTCGGGCTTTAAGCTCAAAAGCCACTATTCCCACAATAAGACATGCAAGGCAAATTTCGATGTGGCTGAAGTTCATCACAAAATGTTCAACCTGACCTATACACGCATAATCAAATTAATGCATTTTCGTCGAGAAAAAAGTTGTCCTCCATGTGATGCGATAACCGCATCCAAAATTTGATGCGATAAAGACGCACCACATGCAGGACAGACTTTTTCGCGAGAAAAATGCATCGAACTGATGTACTGAATTTTCTGTGTGTAGGTGTCAGGGGCCGTAAGCTCTCGGAGTTGTTCGTCGTTAATGGTGGTGATATCTCCCACAGGGGTGAGGACTTCGCGGTGGATAGATAGCTTCGCGCACTGGTCGAGTCCGAACTTCATGCAGATGTCTTTCGAGAAGATGCTCACGACG